CCCTTGTTGACTTTCAATCAACACCCATCAAGCGTGTCAGACGCTGAAGTATAATGATTAGTATTTTTGCTTCGTATTCCGGAAGTTCCTGCTTCGAATCTCGCCCAAGAGACCGGATACCCTAACAAGCTAACTCAGTGGTCACGAAGCATAGCCCTACATGACAAACTGGTAGTCAGTCAGCTGGTCAGTTATTTCCCAGTGCGTTTGCGAAATGAGTGATTAATTACAGCGTTCACAACAGCCAGCCACTGGACCCTAATCCTGAGTCTGCTGAATGCAATCTACACCCTCACAACATATTCTTTGAGATAAGTTTTCATACTGTCTGTGTAAAAGATCTTTGAGGGGGTTGTTGTACAGCAACACCTCACATAGTCCGGCTTCGATCAGTCCGGATTCACTATAGGCCGGTTTGAAAATTTGAAAACAAACTAAATTTTAATTGAGGAAAAATAAAAATAAATTCTAAAAAATTAGTACACAACATTATTTTTAATACATGAATGATCGGGGTTTTCCTTTTATACAGTGAAGTCAACTTTTTGTGCGGTTTTAAAGTTATGCGATACGATACATATTTCAGTTTTTTTCTGGGGTTCCCCGTTGTATATGTATGTACCTATGCTCGGGTCGTTCGTTCTTGAGCTCTGACAGCTATCGTTGGAGGAGGTGGGGAGAGCACTACTTTAACGGAATTTGGGAAGAGCTACATCAGAAACGTTATCGACAATATAGGCGAAGCATGGCATGAATTAACGGCAAGCAATATGAGGGCAGTATGGAAACATATCATGCCACATTGTGCAAATGATTTCATTGGTTTTGAAACTCATTTTGCTGAAGTCACTAATAACAGTGGAAATTGGACAGCAACTTGGTTTCAATGAGTTAGATTCCGTCAGCGTAATTGAGTGCATTAAAGCGAACACTAATTAACTACATAATGAAACACTTATTAACACAGATGAACAACGGGCTTGTTAAGAACGGGAGGACAACTCAGACAACGACGATTGTGTTGAAGTGCCTGCACGAGAATTAACAGCTGAACAACAATGAAAAGTTATTGGAATGGTTGAAACCTTGTCAGAGCATATTATGGAAGTTGATCCCAATACTGATCATAGCCTTACAATGCGCCGAACGAAAAACACTGCAATTCGTTGCTACAAAGAAATGTATGAAGAGAAAAGGCCAAAGAAGAAAAATGTGCAGACATCAATATTGCAACTTTTAGAGAATAAAAGTTGAATTGCGAAAAACATTATTTTTTTTAATTATTTCTAATGAAGACATTTGAATTTGTTAATCACATTTTATTTATTGAAAAATGGAGATATTTTTGGGGAGACCAATTATCAATTTTTATATGTAATTAGTTCCTCGATTAGTCCGGTTTCAAACAGTCCGGGATATTGGGGGAACAGATTACCCGGTCTATGCGAGGTATTGCTGTATTTAGAGTTGGCAAACACTACACAAGAAAATTCATGTGCGTTCAACTAGATCTCAACTATGACGATTTTGAAGAAAGCAGTCTTCTGGGATTTGGCACCGTGTATATGTGGTGTTAACCGACGTTTCGGAGGAACGTATCGCCTCCATCTTCAGGGTAGAAGAAAAAATATAAGAATTCTGCAAGCGAAGATACCGTGAGAACCGGTAAAAGCAGACTGTGTGGGGATATACACAGCTATCCCCACACAGTCTGCTTTTACCGTACATGCCTTAGACCGCACGGCTACCGTGACCGGCCGACAATGTCAGTTACTGACCCGTAAACAACAACAGAGAAACAGTATTTTCAGTGCAGTCCGTGCCGAGATGTTATAACAAGGCCAACTAGTGAAGAGAGAATGAGTGGGTTAGAGGATTGTTACGGTTCAGTCGTTGTGATTTGTTGCTATCAGATGTTTGGTAGCTAATGTGCGGTACAGGTCGGGAACCTATCTTATACGTTTTCTTTAAAATCTTTGCAAAAGCATGTGCTCTACCAATTGTTCCAGTATCATCTAAACTATCGGTTTCTTCATCAATTTGGTTTAAGATATTATCGAAAGCTTTCAAATAATCTTCTCATAAAATCAATAATTAATATAAATATTTTAAAATTTAACTCTCTAGATAAATTTATATTTTCTTTATCAACTTTTTTCTTTCATTATATAATTCTTTTTTCCTGACACTGGCAAATTTTTTTTCCATACTCCTCAATAACAATTTCAGTTTTCATGGTATTAGCTCTTTTTTCCCTGAATAAGATTTCTTACATTTTTTGCTGTTTCCTGGCTGCTGTATTGGCTGTTCTGTAACATCAACCAAAATCTTTAGTATTTTTTCTGGTGTCATAGCTGTGACTTTTCATCTTGTTGTATGACAACTATCCCTGTTGGTAAATGAGTAATTCTTATTGCAATGTCAGTTGTATTTACTGATTGCCCACTGAAAGAAATTCAGCCTCTAACAGAAATGAGTACCAGTAATCTTCATGGGGGTTAAAGGCGGGTGGCGCGTAAGGCTGACCTCACCGCCATCTGTGAGCCGACAGTCTAGAAAGTATGGTAGCCACGACGTCTCATGACCCTATGGGCCTCCAAGGCCTCTTACAGGGATAGCTTTCTCTTTACCTTCTGGGATGTAATGCCGTGAAGCCAATTTTATTTCAGAGCACATCTCTTCATAACCACGACTGTGAGAACCTGAAATCTTTACGTTTTATTCTTATTTAAGAGTTCACACTTTAAGAATTTCCTTTTTATACTGCGTAGTACCATTTTAGCAAATTTTTGCACCTTTTATGTTGAAAGTTTCATGTTTTAAACAAAAAGTATTTTTTATTGCTGTGGGGTGGGACTAAGTCCCTTGTACTGCGGCAACTTCTGGCCTATTGTACCAGCCCCAGATGATAGGTGAGGGTGATTGTGGAGCAATTGGTGGAATGAAGATTGGCAGGGGAAACCGAAGTACTCGGAAAAAACCCGCCCCAGCGCCACTTTGTCCACCACAAATCCCACTTGCCCAGACCCGGGGATCGACCCCGGGCCGCCGCGGTGGGAAGCCAGCAACTAACCGCTTGAGCTATGGCGCGGCCTAAACAAAAGGGTTACTCCCCAATATAACAACCTCCTTACTTCTTAGATACAAACGTATTGCCACTGTCAGTCGCGGGTAGATTCTGCTCCCTGCGTCGGTCGTACAGACGGACAGAAATTGACTTTATAACAGGGATGCGTATAAGAATAAAAAAGCACAGTTTCTATCGTCTCCTGGGCCGAACAGACTATATTCCCTTCCATTTAAGTTGTTTCATAAGCAGAATGACAAAGATTTACGTGACACTTAGAAATTGCCCATAACTTCAGTTCGACTCTTCTTCATCATCGGTTTATTAGCCCACTTTCCTCATTTTGAAGAAGTGAAAGTGGGCTTACGTGATCTCCATGCTGGCTTTGTGACTATATTCCCTCCTATTAACTTTTGAACTTGAATGGCTGAAACAGTCTGCATGAAACTTAGTATGCATATCGTGGCATCTGAGCCCATCTCAGTGGAGCACTCCCATCAGTGTCTATATGCTTATCCCCCTATCGTTGTTAAGCAACGGCTCGACAATAAAATTACCGCGGCAACGAACACACATGCATTAATAAGTACAAGCATTGTTGAACGCGCATTTCCTATGCGGTCCATGTGTTATTAAGGATAATAGGCGATTAGTTCTTCCCAGAACTTTTCATTTTCGTATGTCCATTTATAGCTCTACAGCCCTTGTGGGCCTTGGCCGCTTTTGCAGTTTCTCAATCTATGCACAGTCGGTAGGAATCCTTGGACGGGGGATAAGCCCGTCACAAGGTCGCTGCCTGCACACAGAACAACACAAACACAGAATAAACGTACAGAGACATCCATGCCTCGAGCGGGATTCGAACCCATGATCCCAGTGTTCGAGCGTGCGAAGACGGTTCTTGTCTCAGACCGCGCGGCCTCTGTGGTGGGCTTTGTTTCCATATGGCATCCAAATACGACAGCTAAAGTATATTATTTTCTGCTGCTGTAATATCGACCTTGAAATTATTACTAAGTGTACGAGTACATGGTTCTGCCGATCACAATGGCCTCGCGCTATAAGGCATGATATATTTCCCCTCGCTCGAACATTGGAACCGTGGTTTCGAATCCAGCACGAGGCATGGATGTCTGTGTTTATTCTGTGTTTGTGTTAGGTAGCGTCCTTGCGACGGGCTGATGCCCCATCCAAGGAGTCCTACCTACTGACTGATATCAAGAAACTGAAATGAAACGAAGCGTTTAAGAAATGAGTGTGCTCCAAGTGGGAGTAACAGGAATAGATAGATAGATGTAGATAGATGCATGGACGGACGGTCGGATAGTCCTGCATTTACATGGGGATCCTACTGATGACTTTAGGTTTTCACAGTTCCTCATTGCTGATAGTGATTCTGCTGTTGAGTTTCTTCATCGTGTGGATATAGGTAGTGCTACCGACGTTTCGAAGGTACATGCTGTCTCCATCTTCAGGACGCAAATTAGCATACACACGTCTCGCACATTCTTATTTAATCTCACACAGATAAGTAAACACAGAAAATCCTAAAATGTTAACAGATGCTTTTCTCGCTCTGGAGACGCACCATAGCATAGCCATCGCAACTCAATGCCCGTAATTAAACTGTCATTTCTCGTCGATATTACGTAATCCTCACACTTGACACAGCTTCGTTAAATAAAGTAACAAACAACAGCTGAGCAAAAATGAGCATTCACTTATTACAGCGGTTATAAGAATTCAGTTATCCATTCCAAACAATTCTGCTTATGCTACACGGATATGGCCATTTATGCATGCGATTAGATAAGAACTATTACATGTTGCAGGTTACAAGCGTTAACATTTCTTACATAACGTACTACAATGCAAGACTTTATTACTGTTGCAGAAAACTACGCTCCATCGCCTTAAATTATGTTATACGAACCTTTTCTGTTGCGTCTTCGGGTCAGTATAGGTACTGCTATAGAAGCCAACAATTTTCCCACTTAAGTTGCCTCTGAACTGTAGGTGAAGGTTGTAGAATCCAGGTTGAAGTTCCGTGTTATTTTTCACCAACACTACCCAGAACTCGTTAGGTTTGTACTCAAAAGCATTCTCAATTTTAATTTCTCGCTCCTCACCGAACTTCTTTGTAGTACTGTTAGTCTCTCGTTCACTTTCAGCGGGAATTAGCTTCGTCAATCGCGTGTCGAAAATATCCAGATATTTAGTATTCACCAACAGAAATGACCTCGGATTCTTGACATTAATCTGAATTACAACTTTGCCACTGAACGTGAAATTATTGAGGTCAGGATGAAGAAATATGTCGTAATGTACTGGATCTGTGTCTAACGGCAAGCGGTGATCTGCCTCCCACGGCCTTAATGCCTCCGCGCGAGCGGTCTCCATCTTACTGTCGGAGTGAGTCGTCACTTTCGGCGAGTGAGAGACGACCCTGGTCGGATTATCACACGCACTGCATTGGCTCCGCAGGAGAATTATCGCAATCACTAAGCAACTGCAGAGCACTGCCAGAGCTGGACATGTCCACAAAAGGAAGTAGAACAGTTTTCCTCTCCCCGCTGTGGGCTGATCTCTAGTGGCCATGGTTACTATTCTGCTTTCCTGATAAAGGAGATTTTGGAAGGTAAATTCTGGAATATCAGACAAAAAAAACTTCAAGATTAATTTAATCCTATACTATATTTATTTTAATATAATCTTTTCATCTATGTCTGTATCTAACAAGTACCCTCTTTCCTTCAGACTTCCCCGACCAAAATTTTTTCATTCAGTTCTAAATTTTCACATAAATGTCCCGCCATTCTCATCCTTCTTGGTTTAATCGTCCTCTGAGTCGTACGTGATCGATCGTAAATTATGAAGTTTCCTGTTGTGTACTTAGAGAGGACAGGTTTCCTTTTATGTACTTAGAGAGACCAAATTTCACACTCATGTAGCATTGAATGTTCAACCTACTCAACGTCCTATTCTGCTGTTACTGGTAGCTCTTTCTTGAGGATAAAACGACTGGAGACTGAAAATGTCCCTCAACTTCAATATATTGCCTAGATTGAGAATACGTTGAGATTTACGTCAATTTTCATTATACGCCTTGGTGGTGTGATGTTTGTACCCAATTTATCTTTCATTTATGTCTTTAGAAAAACCTGATGCAACAGATGGGTAATTTTGATTCGCTCTGCCTATGTGCCATTCTTTATAACACTCCTGATTACTGGGGCATATATTTTTCAACATGATTCTTCCCGAATGTTATAACAGTGGGATAAACCTTTCGTTCTAAAGTACCTTGTTCCCTTGCGCATGAGACGTGGAGTTTCTTAAAAAATTGCTGTGCTGCCTATACATGGCAGTAACAATGAAAACGGGGCACGTAAATATTAAAACTGTGGTTAACTTATAAGTAATAAATATTTCCGTTATAATTAATACAAAAATATTAAGCATGATTTGAGAAACAAAAATAAATANATATTTTTCAACATGATTCTTCCCGAATGTTATAACAGTGGGATAAACCTTTCGTTCTAAAGTACCTTGTTCCCTTGCGCATGAGACGCGAAGTTTCTTAAAAAATTGCTGTGCTGCCTATACAGGGCAGTAACAATGAAAACTGGGCACGTAAATATTAAAACTGTGGTTAACTTATAAGTAAAAAATAGTTCTATTATTATTAATACAAAAATATTAAGCATGATTTGAGAAACAAAAATAAATAATGGAGAAACATTTTTGTTAACTGTTTCTTAAAATACTGCGCGCCTTACGCCCCTGGAAATGCGATATTCCTCACATCCTGGTAAATGGGAGTTATAATTGTATATATCTACTTATATACTGTGCGAACTGTGGACAGGAATATTAAGTACACACTGATGTATGTGTCTGTGCATTCAGGATCGTTACTCATCATAACCTCTAAAAATAATATAGTGTAACAATGTAATAAAATGTAACGTCTAGGTAACGTGATCTTTGTCAGTAAGTTTGTATTTAACGAAGTAGCCAAGAAACATATTGGTTTTATGGAAATTCAAGGTTCATCACCATCTGCACAAAAGAATCCTCCCGTGAGTGTGTTCAGTTAATTTCGCACCTCCAGATCTACGTCTAATGCAGGTTGGTTTAGCCATAACTCGCCTGATTTGAATTCGTGGAGTACCTGGTTCGAACCTCGATCTTGTTACCGTCAATCTCGTAGAAAAATCTCCAAAAAATAAGTGCCTGAATATATCCTCACGACTCTACATCCACTGTCACGCCTACTCGAAAATTATGATTATCTTCCTATTTCATTCGGCGATATGAACCCTATACTGTTGAAACAATGTTAAATAGCCTATGATTCTCTCAATAGCAATTTAATAGTATCTTCCAACTTATGCGTAGGTCTCGTGGGAGGTCGCATTACATGGAATATCCCAACCAGAATGTTTCATAATATTTTGTTTCTATCAAACTGAAATTTACACCGTATTCATTTCATAAAAAAAAATAGTTCAAAGGAATTTGTACTTCATCTACTGATACTTTAGAAGCTGTCTCACGAATGATATTCAAAGAAACCGTGGATTACATGGCTTATTAGTTTGTTTTTTTTTTAGATATTCCAGCTCAAACATGATCTGATGGCACTCACTCAGACTGTCACTGCTATATAGAGGCTTCGAGTAACAGTGTGAACGTGTCTCAGTAGCAGGATGAGTTTCAGAGATGACAATCAATAAGAGAACCTCTGACTGTCAATGAGGATACGATGAATGACATCATACAAATTGTCTTCAACAAACGAGATTCTTAGACATCTCTGTCATCAATCTGTCGTATAAAGCCTCGTGATTCAAATTAAAGCCAATTTCAGCATCAATATATGTAACGATTATCATGGAAACACTTTATATCAGAATTGATATTTCGTCCGTGTTTTAGGTTTAGATTATAGATGAGCAAGATTAGAGATGTTTTTCAAATAATCGAGTCATCTTATTGCATAAGTGACAGTCCATCACCGATAAAACCAAGAGGTTGATAACAGACAAAATATGTTGCTTTATTCAATTTTAAAATAAAACTCCATTTCAAGCTTAGTAGTTTCAAAAGTTAAATGTATCTAAGAGTTACATTCCTGAATTCTAATCTAAACTAGAATACTGAAATACAATGCGGAATATGAGAAATCAAAACAGTATACTCACTAGGGTTTTCGTGGTTTTCCTTAATCCCCCCATACAAATGCCAGGATATTACCTCGATTAGGATGCGATCGTTTCCTTCCAAATCCTTTTCAATTCAGTCATCCCATCATCTGACGATATATATAGTCTCGATACTGAAAGTGTTGTTAAATAAGCTACGAAGAAGGAAGTACGATATATACCGACTGCAAGCACAAGGGTCAAGGCGCCAGAAGCCTACCGTGTAGCTGGACATCACTGCAGGCAATTTTAATTACGCCTAGACGCCGATGTTTAATAATTTCCTTGTTATCAGTCAGTTACATACTTTACCTCACTCCAGTGAATTCATCTGTCGGACTAGGCGTTAAGATCACTGGGAATTCAGTGACTCGAGTCATCGAGTCATTATAACAGTTCCATTCACTCGTTTATGGAAAACTTTCGCTGACTGACGTGTCAATTTTTGTTTACGTGGATAAATCGCGTTCAGTTAATTTTATTTTTGGGGGGGGGGTCAAAGTATTTGGACCCATATTACGGAGCATACGGTTTAATACACGATAGTTACGTGTTTAGGAATGAATGCCTGTCTGTAAACGCACCATGCAGGAACATCATCAATGTTGTTCATTTACATTCTTAATTATCATGTACTACAAGTAAACGAACTGTATTATCAGTTAACAAAAGATGAAACACAATTAGCCAAAACACCAGCAGGCGCCAAGGACGGCATCTGGTCTTTCTGAGGGACAAGCAAGCTGCCTGTAACTTGTAGAACCAGAACAGAACAGGAAGTATCCCGCTGAGTTTTCTGGGAATTTCAATGCCTAACTTCAGCGGTACGAGTTTTTGAAAATTTGAGGCTTGACAGATACGACTCGCAATAAGAGCGATCGTCAGTGTACCTTCATGTATCTGAGAGCTGTAAGAAGGACCGTCTTGTACTTAGGCCCAAATGAACATGGATCTGGTTAGGGATTGGCTGAATTCAAATGAGAGTAACACCCAAATTTTAGGTTCAGCCAATCATCAAAATTTAGAGGAGAGGAAACCGGGCGTTCCCGGAACCGACAAGACTTCTACCTCTCCGGAAGAGTCAGTCATCTTAGGGAGTAACAGGAGTAACATCGCGACATTCGGACTTCCCGGACGTTAAATCGGTGTTGGCCAAGTCCGGTACACAAATTCAACAGTGCTACAGCCTTGTAATAGGTACTTCTTGTTCACATCTGCAGTAAAGAGCGACAGTGTTGAGTGAAGTGTGTGTCAAGTGTTCTCTATCTCCTTGTGTGAGCAAGGCCCAGAAGTCGCTCTGAGACAGAATCTTGTCCTACCAACTGAGCAGTCGAAAACCCAAACGCCCGCCTATCCGCGTCCCCCTTATTGTTTACCCCGCTCCGAATTCGAGGATTGCACCCAAGTCCACTGGCGCCCACACAAATTCAATTTCAGAGTAATCCTACACCCTACCCTGAACCAGACAGCAACAGGAAGCGGCGGATAAAAGTGGAGGGCCAGGCAAGACCAACACAGCCGTGGATACCACCCAGCAGAAGGGGTGACATTACGGTGAAGGTAGGCGACCGACCCAGAAACTGGCGGGCATCGATCGACACATGAGAGTAAAAAAAGGGCAACTAAGAAGACAGTTATTAGTGGCGCCAAACAAAGGGCCACACAGAACACTAAGTGAGCAGTTATAAGTGGAGCCCAATGTAAGGGCTAACGACGGTTAAATGTTGCATCCTGTTGCACTGTATAAATCTGACTTAGGAGTTTCTGCGCCGTCTATGTGCAACATCGTTCACTGTTTCAATGTTGGACACTACATGTTTCGGCCTAACTGGTCATCTTCATGCAAATTGTTCTGCTGCTCACTGTAATGCAACTACAATAGGAGGAAAGAAACCCGCATTACAATGAGCAGCAGAACAACCTGTACACCTGAAGATGACCAGTTAGGTCGAAACATGTAGTGTCCAATAAAGGAACAGTGATGGACGCTGCAATTAGACGGTACAAATACGCCTAAGTCAGATGTGTGGTATTTAATATTGCTCGCATTTGTATGCAGATTTCAATACAGCATCAATCTCTCATGGTACAGCAGGACTCGTGTTCAAAAAACGGTTTTGAAATTATGTGCAACTGTTATTATTAGACAATGCAACATTGACAAATGTGATTTTTATCAAGTTTTCTTAAATTAAATGGCCAGTCTTCTTGTATTATTACAACGGCATCTGGGCTAGGCAGTCCTATATCTACACTAGACATTGTAGACTTGAATTACTGAGGCGTGGATCTGCCATCTCACTGTCATTTGTGGTTCCACCTAGCACATCGAGGTTACTGTTCGTGTGCCGTCTGTCCTGCACTTTCCCAAATCTGTCCTATATATACACGTCACTCTAAACGACGTTCATAACTTCTGTGCGGGCACGCGGTAGCGTAGTTGGTTCAAGGGCTATGCTACAAGTCCCGATGAAGTCACTGAATTTTTTCAATTGACCTAATCCTTCCAGCCACACTATGGCCCTGGGGTCGACTCAGCCTCTAACAGAAATGAGTACCAGGAATTAATTAAATAATTTTCCTGGTGAGTAAAGCGCGGCCGGCGCGTAAGGCTGACAACTTTACCGCCATCTTTGAGCCGATTGTCTAGATAATGTTGGACCCTCAATGTCTCGCAACTCTATGGGCTTTCACGGCCTCTTACAGGGATAAATTTACTTTCTTTTACAGAATTATCTTGTCAAAATATAGGGTTACATTTGTAAATATCATTGCAGTTAAGACCATAAGGGAAAGAGCTGTGAGATTGTCGCAGGCTTCATACTGCACCGGCCCAAATTAAATCCTAGGTCAGGTCATGAATGACTTATGGCAAAAATGTGGGACTGGGGCGTATTTTCTCCGAGTACTTCTATTTTCCACCAAGTGTTCCGCATTCATTAACCATCCACCATCATCATTATATAGCCTCGGCACTGGCAGTGATGTTAAATAGTAACTAAAAAGATTACCGGAAATTGGACAGTGGGGAAATACCTGTTATGTTAACACTGACCAAAACCGATTAGAGCCATTTATGTGTGACGCAGAAAATCGGACAGCATCGGACCTCAAGTAAACAATAAAGAAAGCGCGAACTTAGCTAAGGGTGTGCAGGGGTGAGAGAAACGGAAGGGGAGAGTATGGAGTGTTTCAATAAAGAATTGAAAAGATCAGAACACAAAAAAAAAAGCCACTTGGAAACAAAAAATAACGAAATGAGTGCTATTAANGACAAAAAAGCCACTTGGAAACAAAAAATAACGAAATGAGTGCTATTAAAGCGAAAATATACACGCATCTCACAGCTGGAAACGATTCCACTGCACTGCCTCCATGTGAATCAGATGACTTAGAAAACTCCACGTTTCGGCCGAAACAGCGTGAATGAAGCAGCTACTTGTAACAGCAGCGCTAGTTGTGTGCATGGCAGTGTGATACCAAACAACTGTTTCTTGCCTTCTGAAATTGCCGTGTCCTACTTCAATGGCAGAAATAAGGTCAACGTGATGTCCCACATGAAACAATTTGAGAATTTGTTTGCTTTAAGGGGAGCGTCAAAGCAGTCACAGTGAAACATTGCACTTTGTAGCAGACCACACAGATCGAAGTTGGATATCTGTGATGTCGCTGGTCTGGATAATTATGATTGGTATAGTGCGACCTCTTTGAAAGCATTTCGGAACTCAGTCACCCACACGAAATGTACGTAGATCGGGTTATCAAGATATTTTATTTATTGCTAGTGGGGTGGCACTAAGTCCCTTGTACTGCGGCCACTTCTGGCCTATTGTACCAGCCCCAGATGATAGGTGAGGGTGATTGTGGAGCAATTGGTGGAATGAAGATTGGCAGGGGAAACCGAAGTACTCGGAGAAAACCTGTCCCAGCGCCACTTTGTCCACCACAAATCCCACTTGACCAGACCCAGGATCGAACCCGGGCCGCCGCGGTGGGAAGCCAGCGACTAACCGCTTAAGCTATGGGGCGGCCCAGAGTTATCAAGATAAGTAAAAGCAGGATAATTGAAGCTGGTCTGCGCATTTTCTCAGGTACTGTCTTTTGCTTTCATATTTAAGACCTAAAACGACGGAATCAGAATTAATGCATTCATCGGTCACTTTCAAACCTGTGTTCAGATTTCCTACACCACTCTCCAGATATGTAAAGCAAGCCGCCCTCCAATTACTACAATAATTGGAAGCAATCGACACAATTGTTCTAGGGATCCACAGTTAGTAAATCCAGACGCGTTCCTCGGAACGCATAGACTGATCACGAGTGTGAAGGCGAAGGTGGCGCCAACAGTGCCATACTAAACAACAATCCTGATCTTCTCCCGTGTATATAAATCGAAAACCGCAGGCACATGAAGTCAAATATGTTGATTGGCAAATATATATACAAATAGAAAACTGTGTATACTGAAATCTGTTCTTTGCGAGGGAAATCTCTGCAAAAGTTCAAACAAAGCAAATATTTACGGCGAGCACGTTTGTGCACTTTCCCGCCTTACCGCAGCACAAGAACTTGTCTGTCCACTTACTTCTTCACAAGCAACTGCACTGCAACAGTGACGACAACTGCGAGACCCGCACTGTCATGAGTAATTGAAACTCTGCCCTCTCACCACGTCAACTCCTTACACTCGAATACCATGACAGAGAAAGCAACGAACTTATTTTCGGCATTGAACGGGTCCTTGTTCCTATTGTGTTTTTGTTCGTTTCGGGAACTGGAGTAAATTACGTAATTTGATGTATATGGCTGTTGAGCATTGTTTCCCTTTTACAACATTACGCAATTGTTGACTCTTTGTGGGTGTGCCCAAATGGGTTTGGGTTATGTGGATGTGATTACAAAAATGAAGTCTCATACGCGTAGAAGATTGAAAGGCGCACAATTCAGGATTTTATAATAAAAAACATAATTTATAATGTAATGAACCTTAAAAGTAGACGTCATAAGTGCATTAGTGTGAGCTCGCAATAAACGCAAACATTATTTAATGCACTGCTTGCACTGCACTCACAGAAGATGGTACGGATGGTACGGCCACGTCATGCAAATGGAGGATTGCAGCATTGCTAGACAGTTTGCAGGACTCACAGGGGAAAGGAGACTTGGCAGACCAGTCAGATATGGAAGGATGGGATCAGGGACAGAATGCAAAGAAAAAACCCCAAGGATGAAGAATCTTTCGATCGAGAACTCTAGAGGAAAAAAAAAAAAGTTTTATGGTTGAGAAAAACTGTTTATTCACATAAAAATTACATTAATAATAATGTGACATGACTCTGAAAGCCGGAATAGTGGAACCAGAAGGAAAGTCCATTGCCAGCCAACGGCTGGCTAAAACGCGTTCTCATGTCAACGAAGGTTTAACAAAGGTTTCCACGGATACGGACAAGCAACCAGCTATTTCCGTGGATATGCACTAGACTATATAAGCAATTTGTTTTTCGTAAGAGAATACAATCCCGCGTGGAGGCGGGGTCAAATACCACCACCGTAGCCTGTGAGTCGTATGAGGCGACGGAAAGGGAAGTATCGAATCCGAGAGAGTAAAATATGATCGGGAGTCCCACAGGACTCGAACCCGAGAATGACTGCGCTGACGAGGCCAGCAGCAATTATAAACGACAGACCCGTCTTCTCGTCAGACAGAACGCTCCACAGCAGCAAACCCGCAACTGTCTGACAGTAATAAAAATCTGGTCGTAATCCCCAGTTGGGTGGTTTATTCCAAGACAGACTAGCCGACTGACCGTCGGTCGTAACCTAAGACTCAGACTAAGAGAATTCAGAAGGCAGTTCAATAATTAGTGCTCAGCTGTGAATTGTTAACCAGCTAAGATCCGCTACCAAGCAACGACTAGCGAAAGTGGAGATTGAAGGTTTTTTTGTCCGCTGCAGTTACAGTAATCTTTAGTGTGTGTAAGCTAATACTTACTCGCTCATGAAGCTGAGCCCTTCTGGAGGAGCCGCCAATTTTGCAGCTACTCAAGAAATTCCCAGAATTTTATGGAACCCGAAGGTTCATTACCGTGTTCACAAGAGCCCTCCACTGGTCCCTCTCCTGAGCCACATCAATCGAATCCATACCATCCCATCCTCTTTCTCTAAGATCCATTTTAATATTGTCCATCCACCTACGCCTTGGTCTTCCCAGTGGTCTCTTTCCTTCTGCCTTTCCCACCAATATCCTATACTCATTCCTCATCTCTCCCATTCGTGCTAGATACCATGCCCACCTCATCCTCCTTGACTTTATCATTCTACGAGTAATTATACTTGGAGAAGAGTACAAGTTATGAAGCTCCTCGTTGTGCAAGCCAGTGAGTCTGTTATAATTATTTGTAGTTACTTTCTAGGAGTATTCAATAAATCTATTTACAAATGCAACTTCAGTCTATAGTCACTAATACACGTGACAATAATAATAAAAATCTTGTAATAAGGTGATGACTGGAACTAATGTTTTGTTTGCAAGTAATCTATCTCAGCACTGTGTGACAGTTTCATTGTGGCAGGCCACTTCTTGGGTTCGGGTCAGGTAGGGTAAATTGTTGCACAGTTATCCTTGATCCCGGGTAATGTGGGACTTGTTACCATGTTCTTCTGTCACATGACTCTGGGAGTACAAATACTGAACTTAAAGCTTCTGACAGGCAGATTACGTGGTTTCATTATCAACGTCACTATTGCAAAGAAATTACCACTACTCTCACCAACAAGCCAACTTAGTGGAATGTCAGTGTTCTCTCTCCTGGCTGAAGTTCGAAGGTTCGTTACTGTGCTCACAAAACCCAGCCATTGGACCCTGTTTCGAGCTGATTGAAACCAGTAGATTTTTAGCCTCACACCCAGCTTCTCTAACATTCCTTCTTAATATTGTCCTCACCCCACCAATGTACGTTATATAGGTCTCTCAAGTATTGCCTTCCCTTGAAACTTTCCAGTTGGGCGTGCTGCATGCTCCGCCCATCTCATACTCCTTCATTCAACACCATCAATAATATCAGATGATCAGATGTACTCGTATTGTGAATTTCTTTACACTGTAATTTACTTTTTCCCTTTAATTTCTTCAGATCCAAAAATTTTTCTTGTTACTCTCAGTCATTATTCTTCCCTTAGAATGAGAGAAGTATTTCCATAACTGACTCCATAGTCTAGAGAAAGAAGCTGACCGTCGCCCAGCGGTTCATTACCGTGTTTCAACTACAATTTCGTATGCATATCTTACATATTCCCATGGGCTCTGCATATTTCTTCCTGATTTCTTTTAGCGCTGCAATAGCATTTCATGACGAGTAGAAAGTGTGAAGCTCCTCATTATGCATTTTTCTCTAGCTTTCTGCTGGTTCCTCTCCCCTCACGCTCAGTTAGTCTCCTGAGCGCCCTGTTTTGAAACACAATCAAAATTCTTTTTACTCCTACAGCGAGAGAAACGAGTATCACATCCATACAAAAACACAGTTACAAAGCTTTTGAGGTATTTGAGGAGTTCTGTTAACTGGCTTTGCTTCTTGCCTGCTTTATGATGTCTTCATGCTTTGTTTGTTCAATCCTGAAAGTGGAAGCAACATGTTCCTCCGAATGTCGGTCGGTTTACAGCGGGTTATACGGCTTTATATACAAGAGGACAGGGCTCTTCACATACAACTATATTTCTGTATATTTTATCCCCTTTTTAGACAGGAGACTTGAAATTAAAAACATTCTAAACCGACGAATATCTGCCTGCAGGTAAAAGAGAAAGGACTAGAATTGCAACTCTCTCTAAGATCAACGTTTCCAGATTTTCAGTGCGGCCTGCGTGCCTTCCCTACAGAATGACATGGGGGGGCACTATGCTACAAGCCGGAAAGTCACGGGTTCAAGTCCCGATGAGGTCATTGAATGTTTCTTTTTTAATTTACCTTATCTTTCTGGCGGCACTACGGCCCTGGGGTCGACTAAGCCTCTAACAAAAATGAGTACCAGGAATTAATTAAATCATTTTCCTGGGGAGTAAAGCGAGGCCGGCCCCAAAGGCTGACAACCTTACCGCCATCTTTGAGCCGATTGTCTAGATAATGTGGGAGCCTCAACGTCTCACAACCCTATGGGCCTTCACGGCCTGGTAGCTTTACTTTACATGGTGACGGAAAAACAATTGGGTTCAATATCACGTTTACATCTCTTGAAGAAAATCGTGATGTAGCTTATGGAGTCTGGAGTAGCCGCAGGTTATCCATGCGACCGTTAATTCAAATTGCCCCCCCCCGCGCCAATAAGGTGGTTGGCAGAGCAACCTGAACTGCAGACAGAAACAGAAAGAGATTTGATTATGTAGTTCGATATACTGTGACGTATTCAGGCCAATTTAGGCACTCTGAAAAACTATAAGCTTTTGCTTCTAGTATGGGAACTCTATCTTCGCTGTCTGCATCTTGTTGTGTATCATGAGTGGTGATATTTGGCCGTCAACCCAAAATAAAAAGAAATAAACCAATCGAACTGCACACATTGGTTTTATTTGATAGTTGTCACATGTTTCGGTCCACATTTGTGTCCATCTTCGGAGAGTCTCATCAAGTACGTCTCTTGTTTCTGAACTGTCCTATGTGGATCCGTATTAATGCTACTCATCACAATACGACATAAACACCCACACAGAACGAATAGACAGTACACCCTAAGCTAATAACAAATTCACAGCGACATGCCCAAGAAGACAAGTGAGAACAAACTAAAAACTAACAACATTACCGCAAATAGCTTCTTAAACTCCGTGACTTGAGTCCTGAAGCGAACTATACCGGTCGAGTGGCCGCCGCTTGTCAGCGAAGTTAGTACCTATGGTCTAGTGGTCAGAGTTCCTGGCTACAAATCTAGATTCCCGGCGCTACCAGATTTTCTGAGAAGTAGTGGGTCTGGAACGGGCTCCACTCAGCCTCGTGAGGATAATTGTCAAGGAAAGGCCGCGCCATAGCTCAAGCGGTTAGTCGCTGGCTTCCCACTGCGGCGGCCCGGGTTCGATCCCGGGGTCTGGTCAAGTGGGATTTGTGGTGAACAAAGTGACGCTGGGGCGGGATTTCTCCGAGTACTTCGGTTTCCCCTGCCAATCTTCATTCCACCAAATTCTCCATCATCATCACCCGGGGCAGGCTACTATAGACCAATCAGTGGCCTCAGTGCCGAGTAGACCCAGTTGGACTCCACCCCCCACTAAGCGAAATATATCAAGGAAATCGCGGCTCTGGTCTAGAAAACCGAGATTAACGGCCGAGGGATTCGTTGCGCTGACCACGCGACACTCTCTGCTAAAGTTGGCACTAAATAGCTTCTATACATATATAATATATAGCATAACAGCGAACCTCTGGCGAAGGACAACCTACAGTGCGGTACATAAACACAAAAGGAACATAGAATTTTCCATTCAACGACAAGAGAATTTTATACAATTCTAAATTTTGGATAGTTTTGAACTTAGAAAATTTGTTTCAACTTCCTGACGGCTGCATGTCATCAATAGCACTAACATGGATCCACATTAAAACAGTTCAATAACAAGAGACGTACTTGATGAGGCT